TTTGATTACGGCGAAGTCCCCATTTAAGATCCAAATAATTGAAGCCACTAATTCCGCATTTTGACTTGAAAAGTTGTGGAGCACTTAACTTCAAAACATTTGATTACTGCGAAGTCCCCATTTAAGATCCAATTAATTGAAGTCACTAATTCTGCATTTTGATTTGAAAAGTAGTGGAGAACTAAAGTTCAAAACGTTTTGATTATGGTGAAGTCCCTATTTAAGATCCAAATAATTGAAGCCACTAATTCCGCATTTTGACTTGAAATGTAGTGGAGCACTAAAGTTCAAAACAATTTATTACGGCGAAGTCCCCATTTAAGATCCAAATAATTGAAATCACTAATTCCGCATTTTGACTTGAAAAGTACTAGAGCACTAAAGTTCAAAACGTTTTGATTACAGCGAAGTCCCCATTTAAGATCCAAATAATTGAAGCCACTAATTCCACATTTTGACTTGAAAAGTAGTGGAGCATTTAACTTCAAAACGTTTTGATTACGGCGAAGTCCCCATTCAAGATCCAAATAATTGAAGCCACTAATTCTGAATTTTGACTTGAAAAGTAGTGGAGCAGTTAACTTCAAAACGCTTTAATTACGACGAAGTCCCCATTCAAGATCCAAACAATTGAAGCCACTAATTCCGCATTTTGACTTGAAAGGTAGTGGAGCAGTTAACTTCAAAATGTTTTGATTACGGCGAAGTCCCCATTTAAGATCCAAATAATTGAAGCCACTAATTCTGAATTTTGACTTGAAAAGTAGTGGAGCAGTTAACTTCAAAACGCTTTAATTACGACGAAGTCCCCATTCAAGATCCAAACAATTGAAGCCACTAATTCCGCATTTTGACTTGAAAGGTAGTGGAGCAGTTAACTTCAAAATGTTTTGATTACGGCGAAGTCCCCATTTAAGATCCAAATAATTGAAGCCACTAATTCTGAATTTTGACTTGAAAAGTAGTGGAGCAGTTAACTTCAAAACGCTTTAATTACGACGAAGTCCCCATTCAAGATCCAAACAATTGAAGCCACTAATTCCGCATTTTGACTTGAAAGGTAGTGGAGCAGTTAACTTCAAAATGTTTTGATTACGGCGAAGTCCCCATTTAAGATCCAAATAATTGAAGCCACTAATTCTGAATTTTGACTTGAAAAGTAGTGGAGCAGTTAACTTCAAAACGCTTTAATTACGACGAAGTCCCCATTCAAGATCCAAACAATTGAAGCCACTAATTCCGCATTTTGACTTGAAAGGTAGTGGAGCAGTTAACTTCAAAATGTTTTGATTACGGCGAAGTCCCCATTTAAGATCCAAATAATTGAAGCCACTAATTCTGAATTTTGACTTGAAAAGTAGTGGAGCAGTTAACTTCAAAACGCTTTAATTACGACGAAGTCCCCATTCAAGATCCAAACAATTGAAGCCACTAATTCCGCATTTTGACTTGAAAGGTAGTGGAGCAGTTAACTTCAAAATGTTTTGATTACGGCGAAGTCCCCATTTAAGATCCAAATAATTGAAGCCACTAATTCTGAATTTTGACTTGAAAAGTAGTGGAGCAGTTAACTTCAAAACGCTTTAATTACGACGAAGTCCCCATTCAAGATCCAAACAATTGAAGCCACTAATTCCGCATTTTGACTTGAAAGGTAGTGGAGCAGTTAACTTCAAAATGTTTTGATTACGGCGAAGTCCCCATTTAAGATCCAAATAATTGAAGCCACTAATTCTGAATTTTGACTTGAAAAGTAGTGGAGCAGTTAACTTCAAAACGCTTTAATTACGACGAAGTCCCCATTCAAGATCCAAACAATTGAAGCCACTAATTCCGCATTTTGACTTGAAAGGTAGTGGAGCAGTTAACTTCAAAATGTTTTGATTACGGCGAAGTCCCCATTTAAGATCCAAATAATTGAAGCCACTAATTCTGAATTTTGACTTGAAAAGTAGTGGAGCAGTTAACTTCAAAACGCTTTAATTACGACGAAGTCCCCATTCAAGATCCAAACAATTGAAGCCACTAATTCCGCATTTTGACTTGAAAGGTAGTGGAGCAGTTAACTTCAAAATGTTTTGATTACGGCGAAGTCCCCATTTAAGATCCAAATAATTGAAGCCACTAATTCTGAATTTTGACTTGAAAAGTAGTGGAGCAGTTAACTTCAAAACGCTTTAATTACGACGAAGTCCCCATTCAAGATCCAAACAATTGAAGCCACTAATTCCGCATTTTGACTTGAAAGGTAGTGGAGCAGTTAACTTCAAAATGTTTTGATTACGGCGAAGTCCCCATTTAAGATCCAAATAATTGAAGCCACTAATTCTGAATTTTGACTTGAAAAGTAGTGGAGCAGTTAACTTCAAAACGCTTTAATTACGACGAAGTCCCCATTCAAGATCCAAACAATTGAAGCCACTAATTCCGCATTTTGACTTGAAAGGTAGTGGAGCAGTTAACTTCAAAATGTTTTGATTACGGCGAAGTCCCCATTTAAGATCCAAATAATTGAAGCCACTAATTCTGAATTTTGACTTGAAAAGTAGTGGAGCAGTTAACTTCAAAACGCTTTAATTACGACGAAGTCCCCATTCAAGATCCAAACAATTGAAGCCACTAATTCCGCATTTTGACTTGAAAGGTAGTGGAGCAGTTAACTTCAAAATGTTTTGATTACGGCGAAGTCCCCATTTAAGATCCAAATAATTGAAGCCACTAATTCTGAATTTTGACTTGAAAAGTAGTGGAGCAGTTAACTTCAAAACGCTTTAATTACGACGAAGTCCCCATTCAAGATCCAAACAATTGAAGCCACTAATTCCGCATTTTGACTTGAAAGGTAGTGGAGCAGTTAACTTCAAAATGTTTTGATTACGGCGAAGTCCCCATTTAAGATCCAAATAATTGAAGCCACTAATTCTGAATTTTGACTTGAAAAGTAGTGGAGCAGTTAACTTCAAAACGCTTTAATTACGACGAAGTCCCCATTCAAGATCCAAACAATTGAAGCCACTAATTCCGCATTTTGACTTGAAAGGTAGTGGAGCAGTTAACTTCAAAATGTTTTGATTACGGCGAAGTCCCCATTTAAGATCCAAATAATTGAAGCCACTAATTCTGAATTTTGACTTGAAAAGTAGTGGAGCAGTTAACTTCAAAACGCTTTAATTACGACGAAGTCCCCATTCAAGATCCAAACAATTGAAGCCACTAATTCCGCATTTTGACTTGAAAGGTAGTGGAGCAGTTAACTTCAAAATGTTTTGATTACGGCGAAGTCCCCATTTAAGATCCAAATAATTGAAGCCACTAATTCTGAATTTTGACTTGAAAAGTAGTGGAGCAGTTAACTTCAAAACGCTTTAATTACGACGAAGTCCCCATTCAAGATCCAAACAATTGAAGCCACTAATTCCGCATTTTGACTTGAAAGGTAGTGGAGCAGTTAACTTCAAAATGTTTTGATTACGGCGAAGTCCCCATTTAAGATCCAAATAATTGAAGCCACTAATTCTGAATTTTGACTTGAAAAGTAGTGGAGCAGTTAACTTCAAAACGCTTTAATTACGACGAAGTCCCCATTCAAGATCCAAACAATTGAAGCCACTAATTCCGCATTTTGACTTGAAAGGTAGTGGAGCAGTTAACTTCAAAATGTTTTGATTACGGCGAAGTCCCCATTTAAGATCCAAATAATTGAAGCCACTAATTCTGAATTTTGACTTGAAAAGTAGTGGAGCAGTTAACTTCAAAACGCTTTAATTACGACGAAGTCCCCATTCAAGATCCAAACAATTGAAGCCACTAATTCCGCATTTTGACTTGAAAGGTAGTGGAGCAGTTAACTTCAAAATGTTTTGATTACGGCGAAGTCCCCATTTAAGATCCAAATAATTGAAGCCACTAATTCTGAATTTTGACTTGAAAAGTAGTGGAGCAGTTAACTTCAAAACGCTTTAATTACGACGAAGTCCCCATTCAAGATCCAAACAATTGAAGCCACTAATTCCGCATTTTGACTTGAAAGGTAGTGGAGCAGTTAACTTCAAAATGTTTTGATTACGGCGAAGTCCCCATTTAAGATCCAAATAATTGAAGCCACTAATTCTGAA